GGTGCAACTCCTATATTGACCAAAGAGAACCATGTTATATAAGAATAGTGTCAGTTCAGTACTCTTCTTCAAAGCTTTCTTATTCAACAGTCAACAGGGAAGGAGAGGGAACTGGCGGACTGGGATTGGTTAAGATGGAGTATAGCCCAGTCTGTACTTCCAAATGTATGGATGGATCTATGGCTCCTTTCATAAACAATTATCATGACACCATACAGATGATTGTTATACCACTATACTTTTAACGGAAGGATCACAATCTTAACACCTGCTGGATCGACATGTGAAATGGCTTTTTATGAGAAACAGCACATAATTGATTATGGTATCAGATACCATATTAATTCTATTTAATTACCTTCACATGAAATTGAACTGGTATCTTGTGATTTGACCTGTGGAGCACTAATCACTGTGCTATGGATCCACAGGTCTTATTTGAAAATATAATTATTTATAACTATTAAACTAGTTATATAATATAATGGTTAATAATTTTAGATTTTCATTCTTAAATAAAATATATATTTGTAAAGAAATATCTTTGATATATAAGCAAAGAATTATTATACAACTTCAAACTATATATAAGAATAATTGTTTTACTTTTCTAAATAAACAAATATAACTTGAACTTTCTTAATATTTATAATTATCTTATTTAATTTTTATTTTCTTTTTAATTTTTTTAATAAATTATTTTTAAATATTAATATAAATATAAATATTCTTTATTAATAAATTTTTTTATTTTTATAAATTAATTGATATAAATATTTTGACAGTCTTGTATATTAAATATCATATAAGAAGAACAGTTCTTATAATACTAATTGTTTTTGAATTGTTAAGCAATAATATATTGTAATTGATATAGTATAAAGAAAATAATTCACTTTATTATTACAGTATTTAAAGCTGATTAAATAATATTCTAATTATTTTATAAAAATATTAAAGGATTTATTTAATAAAGGAATTCTTAAAAAATTCTAAAAAAATGATACAATGGTAGGTAAATGTCAGGATGTGGATACTCTCCAATGTTAGTAGGAATCCAGTACCAATCCCAAAAAGCAATCTCATTATTTGACAAAAACCAGCCAACATGCCAGCCAACTGGAACAAAAAGCAAGTGGGTGGTAGATCTTTTAACAGAAGATTTCTTAATAATAGATCATGAAACAGGATCTGGTTCTAGCACTCAAGCTTATAGAAAAGAAAAAAAGAAACCATTTTTGACAATAGATGAGTTAATAAAATGGTTAACAAAACCAGAAATTAAAAATAATAAAAAGATCAGATCGAAACTAATATCTAAAACTGATGAAAAAGGATTTAATTTAATGGAAAAATCTGATAATAAGAATAATGAATCTAGTGATTCAGAATATGATACAGCTGATGAAGATTCCAACATTTATTTTGAAAAAATTGAGGATCCATACATTAATAAAATAGCAGAAGCCGGAAAATTTAATAAAAGTGAGGTATATGATTACTATGTATTCATGCCAAAAGGATTTGCAAAAAACGAACCACTAGGTTTCTTTGAATCAATTGAAGAAAAGATTGCTAATATTTACAAAAGAGAGTTAGTGGATTAAAGGTAAGAATCATGTTATATACATATATAAAGAAAATTAAACCAGAAACATCAGAACCTATATATTAAACTTTTCTATTCAAGTATAAAACTATAGAAATTATTAGAGAAGATCGAATAATGCAACTATAGAAAAAGAATATAACGAAATTATATATCAGATTAAGAATGAAGCAATACAAGAACCAGGATGGTCATTTGTTCAAGCAGAAGTATTTCTTGAGATAAGCACTATATAGTAGTAACTATTTACTTTTACCAGAAGCTTTGGATAAACCTTAGCTAGGATTAATTAATCTGCAAAATAATGATGATAATAAGTATTTTAAGTAATATATTAGTATATATCATACAAGAGAGGAAGCATTAAAAGCAAATAAAAAACCTTCTCATTTTAATGAAATCTGAAAACTTAGACAAAATGGAAACATAGCAAATTTTGAGATATAAAATTTTCTTTAGCACTACATGATGTTGATAAATTTGAGGAAAATAATCCAAACTATGCTATAAATATATTTAGGCAGTGAATAAAGAAGTATTTGGAAAAATAAATATGAAAATTGATCCACTCAGAATATCAAAAAGAAATTATTATGTCAAACATATGGTAGATTTATTATATTTAATAGAAGGATAAGAAAATTTAAATAATTAAAAGAATAAAAATGATATACCAGAAGGATTAAAAACACATTATGTACTTATAACAGACTTTACATGATTAACACGTAAATGGAATAACCATCATGGAAAAAAATACTTTTGTCGAAAATACTTGCGATTTCCATATAGTTGATTAGATTTATTACAGGAACATATACCAATATGTCTAGGACCAAGTAAAGCTCCATAGCGTTTAATTCTTCCTGAAGAAGGTAAGAATTATGTGAAACTCAAGTATATCAAAAATATGCTAATGAAACCATATTTAATTACCACAGATTTAGAAGCTGAAGAGATCGAAGTGAAGAAAAAAGATAATGAAGGAAATACAATAAAAAATAATAAAACAAAAAGCAGTTTCATATGGATATACAATACATTGTTCAGATGGAACTATACAAAAGCATATAATCTTTAAGAAGATTTGGATATTATTAAAGATAAGCTCTGTGATCCAGTCCATATAAAAAATGATATCTGAATTATGGCAAAAATATCAAATAGAAAATAAATATTGGGGATGTGAAGAAAAATTACATGAAGCTGAATATAATAAAATTCATGTATTCGATCTTGAAACCAAAAAATACTTGAGTGCTTCACATAAAAAATGTTATGAAAAAGGATCAATAATTAAAGGTAAGTTAGATAATGAACAAACGAAAGTGCATAATGTATGTAAAAAATGTATATATTGTAAAACACAATTACCAAATAAGGAAAAAAATAGCAGAGTTTTTTTTCCTATTTTCGGTCACATGAAATGCATTTCCTTGCATCATCTTTGCATTACTTATATAGTGTCCCTACCGCATTAGTACAGATATGTACATGGTATATGTAGAGTAAAATTTCCAACTATATATAGTGTGTGACAAAAAAAATTGTCATTTTATATAATTAAAGTTGCACATGCAGAACTTGACCATTTTTAGCCAGATTCACGAGATTTTTTAGCACAATAACAATCATATTGTCAGTTTAAAAAAACCGTGTTCATGGGGCCATTTTGGCTTGCCGGATCTTGTACAATCTGTGTTGTGACAAATGAAATGGTGAACGAAAAAAGCAAGCAAAAGTTATTACATTTCTGGAACCAGGGTGTATGTTTCATACTAGAACTATGCAGACTTACCAAGCTCTCCTCCTCAACAATACGTTACAACATTAAAAAAATTCAGAAAACTGGAACAATGGATTATAAAGGTGGAAATGGTCGTATAAAAAAAATTACTAGTAACTTATCCAAGACAATTGGTCAGTATATTTGAAGGAATGATACTATTTCTTTGCTAACTCTAGCAACAAAATTAGAAAAAAAAAATACTAAAGTGTCTTACCATACAATCGGCCAGCATCTGAAAGCTCTTTCTTATAAAAAACAAGTGACGTTAACTATATCAATGTTAACAAATGCACACAAGAAAAAAAAAATTAAATGTGTGAAGCATCACCTAAAGAATAATTGGAAAAACACATTATTTAGTAATGAAATGGCATTTCAATTGTTTTGTAACATGTTGGGACATTGGTACAAGGGTGGATGCCCAGTTTTTCCTATACCAAAAAATCGAAAATTATTATTTGCTTGGAAGGAGTTTTCAGCAGAGGGAAAAATGAGTTTATTTTGCTTCCAATGCATAATAAATGGTCCATATTACATTGAAATTTTGCAAAATAGACTTGAAAAGATCAAGGAAATGCTTGGGGATCATTGGCGCTTTCAGCAAGATAATGATCCCAAGCATACAAGCAAAGTAGTAAAGGAATTTCTTATAAATAATATTCCAGAAGTTATTGATTGGCCATCGTGCAGTTCTGACTTAAACCTTATTGAAAATTTATAGGCGATAGTCAAACAAAACGTGGAAAGACGGATGCCAAAAAATTTTAGTGAGTTGGAACAATTTATGATTAAGGAATGGAATTCTATTCCTAGGATAACAATCAAAAATTTAATAGAATCAATGCCTTGATGTTGTAAGTTGGTTATTAAAAGTAAGGGTAAATGAATCGAATATTGAAACTTAGTAATAAAAAAAATTACCATTTTTGGCTACAAAATGACGTATAATTCATGTGATGTAATGCAATCGTCATAAATTTACATAAGAAATAAAAAAAACAATTTTTTTTGTTACACACTGTATAATACGTGATCTGCAAATTCGTAATTTTTACTACGTGACTATCACTATTATCATCACGTGATTAAAATACGTAAAACTGGGTATAATCTTTTGCATATAAGATATGTAAGACGTGTAAGATTACGTAATATACACAAGCG